AGGCATGTCCAAGTAGCCGTGCTTGTACACTGTGTTTTTCATTTCTCACAAGGAATAAAATTGATACTGTTAATTTTCTTGTGAATATAAAATGCTGAGTATATTTGAAAATTAGTGTCTAATGTATTTCCTTGAAGAATTCAGTTGTCTTGAGCATATTGATTCCTTAATCTTGATCTGGTACATTAGAAGTCAGGTGGGCGAGTCCATTCGTGTTAGGTAAAATTGGTCATTTTGGATGGTGATGTTTTACTTTTTTATAGCTTGCTGTGGAAAGTTGAAGTTCCAACAATTGATGAACCCAGTGAACATTGCATTTTGTACTCCCTTTGGCTGTTTGTCTTTCAGGTTACTGGAGTAGGGTATAACAGGTTTGGAGAAGTGATACTTGATGGTGATGTTATCCATGGTTATAACAACCCATCCATTAGCAAAATCGTTGAGGTGAGACCTTGGCACAGAGATGTGTTTTAATCAGTGACTTTGGAGCACAAGAGTTGTGCATGGTATTCACTTGTATTCTGTTTATCTCCCCTTCTCTTCCTCGTCTTTTAGGCTGGTTGTGTGTGCAATGATGCTCTGATTAGAAACAACACCTTAATGGGGAAGCCAACAGAAGGGGCTTTAATTGCACTTGCTATGAAGGTGTGTACTGATTGGTGTTTCTTTTTTGTTTGTTTTTGACGGGTGGGAAATATGTAGAAATGAGTGTCTCTTTCCATCACTTTTGATTTTTATTGCAACTGCTCATTTTCAGTATATGTCTCTTAACTGTTGGAAATCTGTGTGCATTCTGAGGAAGGTTTTCAATAGGTTATTTAGAAACATAATAAAGTTTTTAACTGCACTTATTTTGCACACTTAATATTGTTACTATGCCTGCCATGAGCCAACTGACCTATTGAAAATTAATTGTGGTGTTTTTCTCCAGTTTTCACCAGCAGCAGTAATAAGTGGATAACTGATTAGTAAATAGACTGGTACTTTTTGTGGCTCTAGCATTTAAATGATGGACATAGGCAGTTTGAATTGTGAATATTCTGGTTAAGAGTGGCTTTTATTCTG